ACATTTAGAACTTTTTAGATAGATTATTTCAAATGTTCTCGGTTGTGCTAGAGTTACAAATATAATGTTTTTGTAAAATTGTCCTTAAGTAAATCAGTGGTTACTATTGAATGTATGTATATATTTATCAGCTTTTGTCACAGTAGTACTATGCAAGACAGGTTGGGTTCCCTGGAAAGCAGATCATGAAAGAAATTTATGAAGTTCCTTTGGGATCAATGCACTTAGAAGACAAGAAAAGAAAAGGAAAAAAAAGATTTTGGGGGTTGGAGGCATGGGTCAAGTGGTAGAGCTCTAGACAATGAGTAAAAGCATCAGATATCAAGTTGGAGTTCCAGTCTTGGACCCCTACCCCTAAAAAATGCGTGGAAGAGAAGAGGAGGCAGGAGTGGACAACAGGAAAAGTGCATTGGGATGCAGTCTGAATAAAACCCTCAGCTGACTCCAAATATATGCCAAGAATTGCTCAAATCAGGACCTTTACATCCCTGCCACATTGAGTGTCAGCTGCTCCAGATCTCCAGATGGAAATATGCCCTTGGGTGATGAATCTCTCTTAAATTGAGAAAATTACATAGGAAACCAAGAGATGAGGGTTGTCTGCACAATGCACTTCTAGAAACTGGATGAGTACATTTTTTATTCTCAAAAGGGAAAGAAAAGCATACTGCCCCAAAGTGCAGTAGCTCATAACAATAAACATTAATTTCATTACTAATCTATAGATTGTCTATGATTCGGATAAATTAGACTGGTCTAAGGAAGGGGCCAAATATATCTGCCTCATGTATTTCTCATCCTGTGTGGGTAAAAGTCAGCAGCAGAAGAAGGCAAAGCCTTGTGTACAAGCACATGCAGGCCTTTGTTATGTCACCTATATTAACATGGTCAAGCACAACATGAGTGGAGCAGAAGAATAGCCCCTATAGATATCCCAGGGGAGGAAGGGAGTAGTTGCTGGGCAACAATCTAATTTACCATATTGTGATTCTAGTTAATGAACAAAAGATGAGAATCCTATTGCCAAGTTTTCCTTGTCATTCTCCCTCCTAAAATACTTCTATTTGTCATCCCCATCTGTTATGAATGAGATGAAACATGACAACACCTTCACCACTTTCTGGCAGAAAGAACAGCTTGTGCTGAGTTATGTTTTGTTTTTGTTTTTTTTTTAAATATAGATTTGAATGGATCTTGCAATGTGTATATGTATCTCTATTGAAAAGATGGTATCTTTTGCTGAATATTATCTGAAGGGAAGTTAGGGTTATACTTTTAAAATTTATTATTATTATTATTGTATGCTGGTACTGGGACTTGAACAGGGCCTGGGCACCGTTCCTCAGCTTTCTCACTCAAAGCTAGCACTCTACCACTTAAGCCATAGCTCTTCTTCTGTTTTTTTTTTTTTTGCTGGTTAATTGGAGATGAGTCTCACATACTTTCCAACCCTGGCTGGCTTCAAACCATTGTCCTCAGATCTCAACTTCCTGATCAGCTAGGGTTACAGGCATGAACCACTAGCACTCAACTGAAATTTATTTTCTTATTTTATTTTATTTATTTATTTATTTTGTCGGTCGTGGGGCTTGAACTCTGGGCCTGGGCGCTGTCCCTTAGCTCTTCAGCTCAAGGCGAGTGCTCTACCACTTGAGCTACAGCACCACTTCCGGTTTTCTGGTGGTTTATTGGAGATAGAAGTCTCATGGTCTCTCCTGCCCGGGCTGGCTTTGAACCGCGATCCTCAGATCTCAGTCTCCTGAATAGCTAGGATTACAGGCATGAGCCACCAGCGCCCGGCTATTTTCTTATTTTAAATTGAGGTATACAGAGAGTGTTGTATATGGAGTGCTAAACTTTGATGCACACTGGCTAAATCTTTCCATAAACATACATCCATGTAACCATAACCAGGTTGAGCTAAAGATTCCTTTCATGCCCTTCCTAGTTAGTACTTTAACTTTGAATGCCATTAGTTATTTATTTTCTCAAATTTCCCTATCTCTTTACATTTTTATTCTCTTGGTGATAAACTATGTCATTGGTTATATGGCAGATTTTTGTGCCCTTTCATTTTTCCTCACTTAGCCTTATTTTCTTTATTTGATAGAAACTATGCTCAGGTTTTGCTTAGAGTTCTAAAGAATAGAGTATATATAAAATCTATTCACGAAAAAAACTTCTGTGTCATCAGAAAGGTGACACTAATATGCATTTCTAGCAAATAATGTGATCCTGTTTCTTTTGTGAAATTGATTGATTTTTAACAGAATTAGAGCTGTCCCCTAGAAATAACACAGTGCATATGGCTGGGGTGTTTTCTGTTCATACTGGCAGTATGCAGTCTTTTGTGGGCTATGATTTATTTCTTTTTAAAATTATTTTGTCCTGATAATAGGTCTTGAACTCAGGCTAGCTTTCCCTCTGGAGTCACACTTCCAGTTCCTTTTTTTTTTTTCTTCTGGTCCTGGGACCTGAACTCTGGGCTTAAGCACTGTCTGTAAGCTTTTGTGCTCAATGCTAGTGCTCTACCACTTGGGCCACTTATGGCTTTTTGTGTTTAATTGGAGATAAAGAGTCTCACAGATTTTCCTGCCTAGGCTGGCTTCAAACTTTGATCCTCAGATCTCAGCTTCCTGAGTAGCAAGGATTACAGATAAGCACCCAGCTGCTTCTTCTTCTTCTTCTTCTTTTTTTTTTGGTCTAGTCTTTCTTGTGCTGCCTAAGCTGATCTTGTATTCATGGGCTCACCTTAGTGCATCATTGTGCCTTGAATAGCCTGTGGTTTCAGTGTGAGCTTTGGAGACTTCTGGTAGTTTGTTTTAAATCACCTGTGTAAGACACATTTACTTCTGTGACTTTTAGTTTCAGAACACCATTTTTTTATAAAACTTACTTTGTCTCAAATTTCAGCATCACATTTAATATGTATACTTTTTTGGAGGAGCTGCTGCAGATCGGACCTTGTACAAATTTGCCTTGTGCAAACCAAGCAAGTTCTCTGTCACTGAGCTACCCCCTAGCCATTATGCAATTATTGGCTTTTGGATACCTTTTAATCTTTTTGTTTTATTATCAGTTGTAAGTTTAGGAAGATATACAGTACTGGTTTATGGACTGTATTGTTAATTAAAGAGATCCCTAAATGCTATTGATCTTTTTACTTGTCTAGGTCAGTTATTCAGATATAATAATTATTTAGTTTCAAAGATAATGTAAAGCTTACAGAAGTGTATACAACAGTTAGACTACAGAATCTATTTAGTGAGGTTAGCTAGAAAAGCAAAGTTTAGTTGTTCCTGAAATTTTGCAGAGCATAAGCAAGGAGTCAAGATCAATTACAGTGTTTTTGTAACTCTTCTATTGAATTTACTGCTCCATGTCTGTGACACATACATCAAAATACAATACTGAGCAGTGGCCCTAACAGTAATTAGAACTAGGAAATTGAGGGCTTCAAATTCTAACCATTAGGCTGCTAAGGAGCTTCAAAATTAAGAAATTAATAATGAAAGCCCTCTTTGACTTTTGTGGAATCCAATAATTTGTTTTAAGTGAGATATCAATCCCTGTTAATTACGGTATACCAAATAGTATTCTAAATAGTATATTCATATCTGTGAACAAATTCATTTTATTTCCTTATTCAATGTTTTGATTAATCACAGCACAGGTAAATATACTTTTAGCATAACTATCAATAACTTTTACCAGATATTAGTTGGTATTTGATTTTATGTTATACTCTTGTACCAAAGAGAATTTTCCACAGTCTCCTGCTGTATATTTAGGAATCACATGGAATGTTTTAAGAGGCTTGTTAAGTGAAGAATCCTTATCTGTGATGTTCTTTTTATAAAAGGTATAAGCCTTGGCACTCAGGTGTTACAAAGTCCAGGTGGAGGGGAGGATGCAAAGAGAACTAGTTCTCACTTGAACAAGGGTTGGATCAACTTGCCAACCAAGCTGCCAAATCCTTATGCTTATGGGCACACATGTGGAGCTGATTGTCTTGTTTTTCTGCTATCATACAAGTATGTAAATACATGTTAGGAAAGAATCTCTCCCTGTCTGGTATAAAAACCCTTAAAAATTATTCAAAATGTGGAAGTGTTCTATTCATTGCTCTGATTAGAGGTAAGTACCCCTTCTTAGTGGTGCTGGAAATCAAACCCAGGGCCTCACAACTGCATCACAAGCACTTCACCACTGAGTTACAGCCCTCAACCTTGAAAAATGCTTTCTAAGGAAACTATACATGATGTACTAATTTTATTTTGTAATCTGTCTTTCCTCCTTATGACATTCTTTCTTGAAATAAATAGAAACCCACACTGGTCTAGCTGTTTGAAACAAACCTGGTTATCTGTTCTTAGTCTACAGAATCTTAAACATGTTAGCATTTTAACATGGTTTTGTCATTTTGTTTGTTTTATCTGTTAAACACAGATATGTAATTTTGTTTTCTCTTAACGACCACACTCCATTCCATTGTTTTCTTTCCATCTCTTGTTCTAAATACATTATTCTTTTAATCTAATCCTACTGTAATTTTTCCTGATACAAAGTCTATTTTTCCTGGTTATGGAAGCCTGTGCCAACTTGATGCAATAACTGAAGTGACTTTGGTGTATTTTTAACCAGAGGGTTGGTGAGATTAATTTTGTTCTCAGTTTAATACTTTTGAATGTTGTAAACTGGGTATAGTGGGTATAGCCTCTCATCCCCGCTATGCAGTAAGCATAAATAGGATCAGGGCTCAGATCAATCTAAGCATAAACCAAAAGACCCTATTCCAAACGTAAAGTAGAATACAGGAAGGGCTTAAGTATAAGATACCTCCTAGCAAGGACAGCCCTGAGTTCAAACTTTAGGATGACAGATATATTAAGTGTATCGTTCGTTAAAATATGTCTCTGCATTTTAGTGCTTTTATTCCTAATGATGTAGCATGAGTGCACATCCAGTTGATGTTTCCTATCTACTTTGTTTTTCTCTAGTTTCATGCTATGGACACGTTATATAAACATGGCTACGATCTGAGTAGTGCAATTAGTGTCTTAGTGCCACTTGGAGGACCAGTCTTATGCCGAGATGAAATGGAAGAATGGTCAGCCTCTGAAGCTAGTTTATTTGAAGAAGCACTGGAAAAGTATGGCAAAGACTTCAATGACATACGTCAAGACTTTGTAAGTAGAAAGTTGTGAATGAATGGAAATGTAGCAATGGGAGTGTTTTACCTGTTCTAGAAATCTGATAAACCTCATAGTATACATTTAGCCAAGGCTATGATACAGGATTTATTTTTTTAAATTTTATTTGGTGCCAGAGTCTTTAACATGTACTTTACTAAGCTTCAACAGCATCATGATATAGTAAGTTTTATCTACTCTCAGTAGAATAGTGGCCAGTTTGTTGTTTTGGTTTTAGTTTTGATTCCAGTCCTGGGACTTGAACTCAGGGCCTGAGCACTGTCCCTGAGCCTTTCTGCTTAAGGCTAACATTCTACTGTTTGAGCCACAGCTCTACTTCCAGGTTTTTGGTAATTTATTAGAGATAAGAGTCTCATAGAGTTTCCTCCCTAGGCTGGCTTTGAACCCCAATCCTCAGATCTTGGCCTCCTGAGTGGCTAAGATTACGGCATGAGCCACCAGTGCCCAGCAGAAGGCCAATTTTATAAAGTAAGAAATTAGTATTTGTTCTGAGCAGTAATTGTAAAATCCAGGGTCATTCTCATCTGTTTGGTCTGTTGCCATGTGTTATATGTATTCTGTCCCCGCCATTTGTACTATTTTGAGCAGTAGTGGATAAGAGGTGATCTAAACAACTACAGGCTTCAAAGGCTTCACTTTTGCTTTCTCTCCTTTCACCCTTCTGGAAGTGTGGGTGGCCCACTAGGCCTCATTCCAGCAATGAGATCCTCCTGCCTCAGCCTTCTGAAAGCTGGAATTACTGACATGTACTTCAGATCCTTACCTATGCTTGATAGGGAGCCTGGAATATGAAGGTTTCTCCCAGTGTATCTGTCCTTGCCTCTGCAGGCCTTGCACTACACAGATCTTGCTGAACTATTAGTTTCTGAATCATTTTGTGCCTACCACCTTTATTCTAGCAAAAGGGGTGCCTTATGTACCAACTTCAGTACCCCTCCTTAGTTCAGTTCTTAAGTTTGGTCTTATCCACCTATATTTAATGGGCAAAAATGAGTTACAAGTGTTTTTTAGGCATTGTAGTTAGGCAAGTGAACTAATTTAAAACAGCAGAATACATTTAATTAAGCTAATTTATTACTTTCTGTTAAAAGACTAACAGAAGCTCTTGGAGGGCCAGTGATGCAAGATGAGATGTGCCACAGCAGGAGCAGTGGAGCCAGGATTTTAGCCTAGCACTGCAGTGGCAGCATTGCAGCAGATACCTCACCCCAGCATATGCTGCCTCTAACATCAGTCTGGTTACACAGTGCCACTCACCTAGGGTCTGTTCATAGAGTGCTCCACTTCTTACCAGTTTTCATTTGCTAGCTAATACTTCTGACGATAATCGAAAGAGCCCATCTTTTATTCAACTCAAAGTAGTAAAGCAAATGTTCACCGTAATAATATTTTGCCTTCTAAAAGGATCTTCCTTCTTTATTAGGCTTCAGGATTGCTACTACATGAGGCTGAAACACTGCAGTATAATTGTGGTAGATGCTAGTGTACTATGCAAGACCACTACCACACTCAGAAGCCTGTAAGTGATGGTTGAAGGAGAAGTGGTAATGCATCAGGAGTAGGTACACTGGGATACTCCAGTGTGATAGCCTTCATCACCTACCACTTCTCCTTAATAAAGAAAATAGTGGTGGACTGGGAATGTGGTTTAGTTGTAGAGTGTTTGCCTTACATGCATGAAGCCCTGGGTTTGATTCCTCAGTACCACATAAACAGAAAAAGCCAGAAGTGGTGATGTGGCTCAAGTGACAGAGTGCTAGTCTTGAGCAAAAGAAGCTCAGAACGTGAGTTCAAGCCTCAGGACTGGTAAAAGAAAAAGGAGAAGGAGGAGGCACTGGAGGAAGAGGAAGAAGAAAAAGTGGTGGTGGTGGTGGTGGGCACAGCCAATTGGATCCTTACAGTTCATGACAAAGTTCAATTTATATGATCAGTTGGTTTCCAACTTCAGATATTCAGGTAAATTCATACCAGCCTCTATTTCTTAAGAATAGAAGGCTTGCTTAAAACCCCTAGAGGACTATGCCATGATGATTCTATCAGGTCTTGGTAAAGGCTCCTTAAACACCACTTTTCAGTTAACTCCACCAGTTGAACACACTGGATTAAAAAAAAAAAAGAATTAAAACAATAGTCAAGTGTGTTAGTGCATGCTGTACTTTCAGCTGCTCTGGAGGATCTACCCATCCTGGGTAGAGTTAGTGAAGTACTGTATCAAAAACAGAATTCAAACTAAAGGGTTAGGGATGTGGTCTAAGTGGTAGTTTCTGGAGTCAATTCCCAGCACCACTAAAAACAGCACAACAGCCGGGTGCCAGTGGCTCATGCCTGTAATTCTAGCTACTCAGGAGGCTGAGATCAGAGGATCACAGTTCAAAGACAGCCCAGGCAAGGAAAGTCTGTGAGACTCTTATCTCCAATAAACCACTAGAAAACCGGAAGTGGCGCTGTGGCTCAAGCGGTAGAGTACTCGCCTTGAGCTGAAGAGCTGAGGGAGATAGTGCCCAGGCCCAGAGTTCAAGCCCTACGACCCCCCCCAAAAAAAAAAAAAATGAAAAAAAAAACCAGCACAACAAAAAACAAATATATTTGCTTCATATGCACTTCAAAGCTAGTGTCTGCTGATCTGGTCCTATAAGGAGATCATATTTGTAAACACTGTTTTTAAGTTACCACACAGCTGAGTATACATAATGTCCTTGCTCTAAAAATCCATCTGTTTTCTCTTTAAACTGAACAAATGAGTTCAAGAGGGAAGTATTAAGAATGGCATGGGGGGCTGGGAAGGTGGCTCAGTGGTAGAGCGCTTGCCTTGCATGCATGAGGCCCTGGGTTCGATTCCTCAGCACCACATAAGCAAAAAGAAAAAAGCCGGAAGTGGAGCTGTGGCTCAAGTGGTAGAACGCTAGCCTTGAGCTGAAGAGCTGAGGGATAGCGCCCAGGCCCAGAGTTCAGGCCCCACAACTGGACCAAAAAAAAAGAATGGCATGGATGTTGTCACAAGCAGTCCCCAGCTACAAGGAGTCTGGAAAATACTATTTTAACTCTCTAGTCCTTATGGTGTGGTAAGAAAGCTTGGTGAAAGTCAAAGGACTGTCACCTCTGCAAAGCCTACTGCCACAGCTAATCTGTTTTACCAGCCATTGATATCATTATGAAAGTCCAATGTCCTCATTTGCACATTCAGTAACAAAGAGATCCTCATTTACAGAGAGACATTGAATTTTGTCTTTGGTTGTAGGCGAGTAGGATTTCACTTGACCATGTTTGTATATGAATGGAAAATTTCAGTCATATTTATTAGTTTTTTTTTAAGAATAGGAAACATACTTGGCTGTGTCCTTGCTTAGAGAGATAGTTGTCCATTTTACTTAAAATGGGTCAAAATGCAGTGGCTTTAAAGAATGAAAAATAATGTTTGTAGCTTAAGATATTAAATAATATTGCTGTGACCCCACCTGTCACTACTGCATAGAGTTGAAAACATTCCTGAGTAAGTCTGGAAATATATTAGTCATAATATTAATTATTTTTAAATAAAATAGGTGTGAAGTATTTTTTCTAGAATGACTCTTCCATATGAACACGTGCTTCATTATTTTAAAAAGTAGCAAACCCTTCCTACAGTAGGTTGTTTTCATTATGTGTTCATTTTTTTTTAGCTGCCTTGGAAGTCATTGACAAGCATCATTGAGTATTACTACATGTGGAAAACTACTGACAGATATGTGCAGCAGGTAAATCTTTTTATATTGCTACTAACATGATTGCCTTAAAGTATACTTGGTTTAAGCATTTTTAGAAAGGTCTTAATTTTAAATTTGCTTTATATTTTCTAGATTATTTTAAACTCCATGATATCCTATCTTCAGGATATTATTTTTTAGATTTTTCATCTTAATATTTCCTTAGAGTCCATTGTGATGAATATTTGGAAAGTGTCACAAAAAGATTACTAGAGATGCATTAATTTCCTTGCATATAGTTGATGCTTGATCTCTTTGTGAGTATAGTTGGTGGGAATCACTGAAGATGTAGTACTACTACAACATCATAAACTATTTATTTATATGAAGAAATGACAGTTGAGACTGATGCCATCAACTTTATACTTTGAGATATTTTTTAAACGTTTTGAAACTTTATGACATTTGTGTGGTGAATATATCCCCTGAGGTTTTTTGTTCTCTCCGCACGCGCGTATGTGTGTGTGTGTGTGTGTATGTGTGTGTGTAGTAGAAATCAAACCCACAGCCTTTTTGCACATGTAGGCAAGTGCTCTATCACTTAGTTATATATCCAGTCCTCCTTAAGTTTTGACACTAATTGTAGGAATGAGACTTGGTCTTATTATGGTAAGGTCTTATTTAAGGACAAGGCAGGGGGAAGGGGGGGAAGGAGAAGGATTGGGATTATGGGGGGAGGGGGGAGGCTGGGAAGGGATGTGAAGGGTAAACAAAGGAGGAGGCTGCAATGCTTGGTAAGAAATGTACGCATTATCCTGCCCATGTAACTGTAACTCCTCTGTACAGTATGTTCACAAATAAATTAAATTAAAAAAAAAAAAAAAAAAGAATTGGCAGCAAAAAAAAAAAAAAAAGGACAAGGCAGTTCTTGAATTTGAGAGCCTCTTGTTCAGCTTCCAGGGTGCTGGGGTTACAGGAATGTACCACACTCAGCTTAATAGCAGCTTAGTTTTACTAGATGGATGTTTGTTTCTATACCAAGATTTTTCTCCAAAATTATTTAAAAATAGGGAAGGGGGGCTGGGAAGGTGGCTCAGTGGTAAAGCGCTTGCCTTGCATGCATGAGGCCCTGGGTTCGATTCCTCAGCACCACATAAACAGAAAAAGCCGGAAGTGATACTGTGTCTCAAGTGGTAGAGCGCTCTCCTTGAGCTGAAGAGCTGAGGGACAAGTGCCTAGGCCCAGAGTTCAGGTCCATGACCGGCAAAAAAAATAAAATAAAAAAATAGGGAAGAGGCTGGGAAGGTAGCTCAGTGGTAGAGTGCTTGCCTTGCATGCCTGAGGCCCTGGGTTCGATTCTTCAGTACCACATAAGCAAAAAGAAAAAAGCCATAAGTGGCACTGTGGCTCAAGTGGTAGAACGCTAGCCTTGAGCTGAAGAGCTGAGGGACAGCGCCCAGGCCCAGAGTTCAGGCCCCATGACCGGACCAAAAAATAGGAAATAATTAATTTTTGAGTCCTACTTAAATATGAATTCAGGTAGCTCGGTCTTTGTTACTGAATTTTAAGTAATACTAACTTTAGGGAAAGTTTTTTCCCCCTGAAAACTGACTTTAGTCAATACTTATTTTATATTATCACAACAACATATTAGAACTGGTAAAGAAAGGTCAGTTTAACACAGGTATTGTTTGTTCTAAGTATGAAGGTTATACAGTGGCAAGAATTATATGAAATAGGAATACATTTTAAGGGCCACTCTAAAAAGTACTATAATGAATAGCTAAGGTCACAAATAGTTAACAGATAGTTAAGTCTGATAAACAGTTTCCAGTGTCAGCAAAATACATAATGTAGAAAGTGCTTATTTGAAACAAGTTGGATAGAAATGAAGGCCATGAAGTGTGGAAACCTGTGCTATTCAAATCAAGAAGTCTTAGGATAATGGAGACAGTGGTATCAAACATTATTGAAAGTGTTTAGATAAAATATTTCCAAATATTTCATCTCTGTTTTGAAAGTTCCAGGTTGTCCCCTAATTTTTTTTCTCCCAATTGGGAAAATGGAGGATAGCCTTATATTCTAGTTTGTCTTGTTTGACATTGACTATGCATTATTTCCTTCTAGTTCAACTCATTATTGTGTCACTCAGTGTCTAGATTTCAGTATATAATCTTCCTCTGCATTTGGCTACTGATTGGTTTTAGTTACTGTATATCTTCCAACATTTCTGCTTGCATGTATTTTCAAAACTAAGCACCCTGAATATTTTTCTAAAAACAAAGTGTGTGTGTGTGTGTGTGTGTGTGTGTGTGTGTGTGTGTGTGTGTGTGTGTGTGTGTGTGTGTGTGTGTGTGTGTGTGTGTGTGTGTGTGTGTGTGTGTGTGTGTGTGTGTGTGTGTGTGTGTGTGTGTGTGTTTCTCCTAAAAGATAAGTAAGAAATTAAGTAGAGCTGAGGATATAGTTCGGTAGTAGAGTGTTTACCTGACATGCACAGTCCCTGGGTTAGTTCTTAGCTTCCTCCCTCCCCTGCCTGCCCTAGGAAAGAACTAAAATAGAAATGCATTTCTAAAAATAATAATGGCTAATTTAAAATGTCTTTGGGGGCTGAGAGTGTACCTCACTGGTAGATTATATGCTTAACATACATGAGGCCCTTTGGTGGCTCATACCTATAATTCTAGCTACTCAGGCAGAGATATAGAGGATAGGATTATGGTTTCCTGGGTGGAAAAGTCCAGAGACACTATCTCCCATCTCATCCCACCCCACGCTACCCTACCACCTTAAAAAAAAAAAAAAAGCAAAAAGGTAGACTAAAGGTATGTCTCAATTAGTAAGAGCACCAAACAAACAAACAAGCCAAGCAGGAATATAAGGCCCTGAGTTCAAGCCCCAGTACCCCAAGTACCACCAAAAAAGAAAATAAATCTGTGTCTAAATGTTGTTCATACCCACAGTTCTGAAGTTCAGAATTTGATGTTTTTTGCAAGTTGCTGCAATTTAAGAATACATATACAAAAGAAAAGCTTTAAAACAGCAATTTTTGAATTTGAATTATACTTTAATATTTATTTTCTTGTGATTGTTTAAGACAATGGAGTGGTAATAATTAGTAGGCATTGCATGTAAAATATTTTATCCATCTTTTGATTAGAAACGCCTAAAAGCAGCTGAAGCTGAGAGTAAACTGAAACAAGTATATATCCCAACTTAGTAAGTAATTGAAATCTTTTAAAATATTTGTTCTGATCTTAATTCTGTTGTTACAAATGTATCATTTTGTTCAGTTTCAGACAAACTAAATTTCTTTGTGAATCTTACTTTTTTTTTAATTCAAAGCATTAGACTTCCTTTTAATGCATTTGGGAGAGGGGGGCTTGCTTAGAAAGAAAAAGAGTGAGAGAAACCCTAAGTAGACTAACACAAGGACTAGAATAAAGAATGTCATGTACTTCTAAGGAAGCTACTCTATTTTGTGAAAGCTGCAGGAAAAGTATCAGAAAACTTAGCATGAGTTATTATTTGAAGCTAATGCGTTTTATGGGGCTAACAACTTTTGAAACTTTTTTATTACAGAATAGGTTTTGGGAGGGAATTAAACTATTGGTAAATGTTCAGTGGGTTCAAATTTTTTGTGTCCAACATTCTATTATTATGAGTTAAAAAGCACTGTCACATTAAAATGAATGCCAGTATTCTTTTCATTTGCTATGTTCTTAATGGAGTATGTCCTTCTGTTGAGTTCTTTGGGGTTTGATCATTCATTTGTTTAGCAAAATACAGTTTATTGGGTACCATTTACTTTTTGCTATCCTAGATTCCTTTGAGATTAAATGAAGTATATTATAGATTTCTATGCTCCTTCAAGAATTTTATTTTTTGCCCTAAGTATAATTGTTTTATATTTAGATTTATGTTTACCGTTTTTATATGTAGAAAACCTCATGGACAGTAGTTGTTAAATTGACAATATGAATCTTTCATATTCATCTCATTTTAACAGATAACTGGTTTCATTTTTAAAACATGATTTTCAGGATCTGTAATTATTATGTACCTTTTGAGGAATGGTTTTTAATGCCTTCTAAATTATGTATTTTATTTGATTAATTCATAAAAACACTACTTCAAAAATCAGACTGTTGTGACTCATGTATTAGATTTTCAAAAGCAAACACAACAGCTTTCTTCTACTGCAAAGGACTAGTACACTTAACTAGTTTTGACCAAGTAACCCAGATCAAGTTGTGTTCTGTGTTACACTGACTTTGGCATTTTGATCTATATCAGGGATCTGCAAACTAGTCTGTGGCTCATCTCTGGTGTTTCACCTGGTTTTTGTAAATTAGACATGCTTATTCATTTATATATTATATAAGATGATTCAGATAGGCTACAAGGTGAGAATTTAGTGATTATAACAAAAAATTATATTAGCTACAAAACTTAAAATACTTAACAATGCCTGGGTAGTAATTACTCAGCTGCTTAGGAGGCTGAGATCTGAGGATTGCTCATTGAAGCCAGCCAAGACAGGAAAGGCCATGAGACTCATTTCCAGTTAACCACCAGAAAACCGAAAGTGGAGCTGTTATTCAAAGTGATAGAGTGCTAGCTTTGAGCAAAAGAAACTCAGGAACAGCTCCCAGGCCCAGGCCCTGAGTTTAAGCCCCACAATCAGGGCAAACAAACCAAAAAACCCAAAACAAAATGGCCCTCTACAAAAAAAGTTTTGTATTCTCTTATCTAAGCAAATTCTTTTTCCTTTCTCCCTTTTTCCTCCTCTTCCTTTTTTTCTTTCTTTCTTTTTTTCTTTCTTTCTTTCTTTTTTTTTTTTTTTTTGGTGCTGGGTTTTGAATTCAGGGCCTTCACTTTTGCTAGACAGATATTTTGCCATTTGAACCATAACCCCCAGCCCTAAGTGGTTTTTGGAGATCAAAACAGTTTCTAGGGCCAGGAGTATGGCTCAAGTAGTAGATCACTTACCGTGTAAGCCTGAAATTTAAACCCTAGTGCCACCAAAACTGAGCATGGAGATAGTTCCTATTCATATTAAAAAAATAATTTATACAACTCATATACAGTCTAAGTTGCTCAGATAGGAATCTGAGCTCTTAGATGAACTTCCAGACTAACTCTTAAACAGAAATTTTTTAAATGAATAATAGATTAAGAATATTTTTTTCTGTAGGTTTTTTTTGGGGACTTGCAGTCTCCTGTATTCAAAGCCCTCTGTATAGTACTAGAGAAAGAGGGTTAAGATGATAGTCGACTTTATTGTAGTGTTAGGAGATAGTACAGACCCAATGTGGTAAGTACTGTACATAGGAGGATGGCTTTTGTATGACTTTTATACTGGGAACCAAGTATCTTTGGGAAAGTTTTTGAGGAGATAAGGCAAAGAGGGGTCTGAGCAAATAATGGAGGCTTTTCAGGCTAGTGGGACCTTGAGCTGAGAAGTCACACAGGTGAGGAGCAGAGAAAAAGTATGCCGGTATAAGAAGAAAGTGTCTAGCATGGAAGGCTGGTATGTTTATCTGTATGATGAACACACCTGTGTGATATACAAAGATACATCATGGTCAGATTTGTACTTGAAAATCACCAGCTATAATTTGACAATGGTTTGGGGAAAATGAGAAGTAGATTCAAGGAGACCAGTTATGAGATGTTTGGGATGACACCCATTCTACCTAGGACAGTGGCCCTGGAAATGATGTAATATTTAGAGATGATTGACTTTAGCCTGTCAAGTCTGAATCGCTAATTTCTGGCTCACAATATTAGGGAGGTTGTCAAAACCAAGCTTAGATGCCACAGCATCAGGTTAGATCATTTTGAGTTTGTTTTATCAAAAAAGAGATACTGGATCTTTGCTGTCAACAAGTTATATATGTTTTAAACTGAGATGAAAAGTTCTCCACTAGGAATACAGATATGAGTTTAATCAGCATACCATAATATGTTTCAGACTATAAGTTGAAAAATTTGAGGGATAGCAACAAGAAAAGTGCCTGAGCAAATCCAGTATTTGTAGAGCAACTAGAGTATAATAGCTAACTTTGAAAAGCCAGATGAGTATGTCAGCTCAGAAGAATTTTCTTTTAACCTGTCCTGGGGCTTGAACTCAGGGCCTAGGCACTATTGCTGACCTTTTTCTGCTTAAGGCTAGCACTCTACCATTTGAGCCACAATGCCACTTCCGGCCTTTTCTAAGTACTTTATTGGAGATAAGAGTCTCACAGACTTTCCTCCCTGGGCTGGCTTTGAATCACAATCCTTAGATTTCAGCCTCTTCAGTAGCTAGGATTATAGGTGTGAGCCACCAGCACCTAGTGAGAAGAATGTTTTAAGGAACGAGCCATTAATTAACATTGTCAAGTGGTGATGAAAAATAGCCAGGGAATTTGGCGACAGAGAGACTATTGGTAGTCTTTAATGGAGTGGTCAAGACTCTACATGAGCTAAGAGAATACAAATGGGGAAGGGGGAAGAAGGGAGGAGAGAAAGAAATGTAAGAGGGTTTTTTTTTTTTTATATAGAAGAAATGGAAATATGTATAAGAGGAGAACCCAGAGAAGAGGATGATATGTAAAAGTCCTTAAGAGAACCACAAAAGCAAAGTCTGGAGCATAGATGGAGCATTTTTGTGCTAGATTAAAGGAAGGTCTATTTCATATACTGTATCTTTAACGCCTTTTAAAAAATGGTGTCTTGCAGTAAGAAATAACATCAATAATTTAATCTTCAGATACTTGGTTGGTTGTCTATTTTCTGTGTGTATATATTTTTGAGAAATATAGCCCAGCCTGGCCTTGAATTTATGCTCTTCCTGCCTTAGCCTCTCAAGTGCTGGTATTATAGGTACATCCCCTGGCGTAGGCACTTTATTTTGTCTAGGAGATGATTTCTTTTTTCGGGGGTGGGAGGTAGGGGGAATGCAATACTGGGCTTTGAACTTGACCTCCCTCTTGCTAGGCAGATGCTCTACCATATGAGTCATGCCTCCAAGACTAGATGATACTTTCAATGATTCACTTGCCAACATATTTACTGGGCATACTTACTTTACTTTTGTGATTATTACCAGTAAGATCAGTGGCCTATTCAACTATATAATAGTTTACATTCATTTGCCAACTAAATTTGTATTTGCTTTCCTTTGGTTTGAGGCAGCTCAACTAAAGAATTTATTAGTTTTGGACTGGAAAGGTGGCTCAGTGGTAGAGCGCTTGCCTTGCATGCCTGAGGCCCTGGGTTTGATTCCTCAGCACCACATAAGCAGGAAAAAAAAAAGCCAGAAGTGGCGCTGTGGCTCAAGTGGTAGAGTGCTAGCCTTGAGCTGAAGAGCTGAGGGACAGCGCCCAGGCCCAGAGTTCAGACCCTACGACCGGACCCAAAAAAAAAAAAAAAAAAAGAATTTATTAGTTTTCTTTATTAACATATATATATATATATATATATATATATATATATTTAGCCCTGTTTAAAATGTTAGAAATTTTCTTATTTCTGGGAAATTTTTGGCCAGTTATTTTATTTCAAGGAGGAGGTATCACTTCTATCTTTATATGGAATTCTCTGTAGATTTTTTTAAAATTGGAAATATTGCATATCCTTAGAAACGTTGGTTATCCAAACCAGTCCTTTTTTTATTTTGTATACTTGCAGCTGACCACTGTAAGAAAAACATTGTTGATTTAACATACATTTTTAAAACAAGTTTATTATTACTCAAGACATGGCTCAGTGTTAAAGCCACTACCTAGCATGCATGAATAAAGCCCTGGATTTGATCACCAGAACTAAAAACAAAAACAATTTGCCTCTGAGGTACATTGCAGACATGAGCTAAAAGTGTAAATAAAAACCTATTTGACAGAATAGCAACCTGACCTCAGTATAGATACAGATTAATGCTTACTTTTGAAGGTAATATTACCAGACTTTCAGCTGAATGAAAAATGCTGAAAAGAAAAGAAGGTTCTTTGTTCTCAGGCCAGAAGAAGTTTGCACATGAGAATCTGATTGTTAAATGAAATGGTGGCAAGAAGAAACCCTGAGCCAACTTGGAGGCCACAGGGTTTTGATCTTCCTTCAGCCATGGGAAGGAAGGCAGCATCTAGGATGATGCTCTAAGGGATTTTCATTTGGATGGACAAGAGTCTGATTGCTTATTCCATAGCCTTATTTTGTACATACACGTGGTTTTTAACACCTTGTTTTTACCAGTTCACTTATTCTTTGCTAAATATTGTGTTTATTTGTATTTAGATAAGGTAAATTAGTAAGGAGATACCAATCGTTTTGTCTTGTTATATGAATTATCTTTATCACTTCATTTACATTTCATTGAAAGCAGCAAACCAAATCCTAACCAAATATCTACCACCAATGGCAAGCTTGGTGCTGTGAATGGAGCTGTGGGGACCACGTTCCAGCCCCAGAATCCCCTTTTAGGGAGAGCCTGTGAGAGCTGTTATGGTAAGTCTGCTCCAGCAGACTCTATTTTTCTCTTTTGAAACCTGTCCTCTGTTAAGTGTAGGGACTGGATCTAGATTGTGGGTTGGGATTGGCTACAAAACAGTGTCTTCTCAGGCTTTCTGCCAGACACAAGTATGTGTGTCTTGGGGGTGGGGAATGTAGGGGCAGGAGAAAGATGGGCATTGTGTTTCTTTTGATTTTCCTCTCTGGGTTCTCTAAATGATTTTAGTGTTTGCTCAGCTGTGGGTAGAATTGTATTAGCTTTGTCCAAACCATGGTCCCATGATACACACCAAATCCCCTTCTGGGTTCCTTAGTATCCTTTAGCAAATTAAAGATGTCCAGTAATTCTGTAGGAAAGATCTGTGTGTGGATAAACTGCTACTTGTAATCCTCAGACAGGCTCCGTCATGAAACAAGTTTGGGAGATACTGTTCCATGATATTTTCTTTTGGTTCTAGATACTATTTATCCATGCCAGCAGGATTATATGTGTCCTGTGTGTTAAGTAGGGCCAGTGAGATGATCTGATTTGGTAGGTGATACACTTCATGGATTTATTTAAACCATCAAGCCAACAATACAACTCTTTAATAGGGCATTGGTATCATCATAGGTTTTTCTTCCAATGGAGATGACCTGGGTGGGAGAGAGAAGGAAGCTAATGTTTATTGAAAGTGCCCACTGTTTGGCTCTTGCAGCTCTTTGGAGATAAGCCTTAAGGACATGGGAATGAGGGCCTTCATGACTTCTGTGTGCTCTATACCAGACTTTGGAAAAAATGTTTAAAACCAAATTAGTATTCTCTCTTGAAATCAAGGGAGATGGGAATTAAATTGCTGACTTTATAGTAATGGAATGTGGGGGTGTGTCTAACAGTTTTTCTGTACGGAGAGAGCACAAAGGGATACAATTGAGAATTCTTAATTTTTTTGAAGATCGTATATATTTAAATGAAAATACAATTCTTTCTTCAATTGTGTCAGTGGCTTAATTATTTTTGAGGTAAGTTCTCACGGGATCCTAGACTGGCCTTAAATTCCTGGGATCAAGTGATCTTCCTGTCTCAGTGTCTGTAGTAGCTGAGGTTATAGGCATGTAACACTCACTATACCTGGTGTTCTGTCTTCTTTTTGACTTTCACATACCTTTCATAAGCATGCACATGAATATATTGCTTTAAATAATTGTCATTGTAATGTGTCTGATTAATAAAATATTTTTTCCTCTCCGTCCTCTCTCTATTTGGCTAATACTGGGTCCTGAAATTAGAGCTTTGCACTCTAGCTCAGCCTTTTCTGCTCACAGCTGGCATTCTACCACTTGAGTCATACCTCCATGCTCAGCTTTTTGCTAGTTAATTGTACATAATAGTCTTACAGATTTGTCTGCTTAAACTGAGAACTGCGATTCTCAAATCATGGGCCTCCTTAGAAGCTAAGTGTAAGTAAGCTACTAGCGCCCAGTTTTAATTTTATATTTTTGGTCCATAGATTATTAAAGTTATCTTAGTGTACATATAAGATTTGTGTTTATACAACCATACACTTTGGTGTTTTCTGTTGATAATCACTTATAAGTTAATTAATAAGTGAAGTTTTATATTTGGGATGCAAAATAAATCTTTGACTTGATATTTAGAATTTTTAAGATTTTGTGTCTCAACAACTAGTTATAAATTACTACAATAAGAAAGCTTTCTATTTGCAAGACATTTTACCAAAAATAACACTTGATTAGTTCATTTGTTATTCCCGATAAGTGTAATGATCACTTTGTTTATTTATTTACATATTTTTTTGGTGCCATTCCTAAGGCTTGAATTTTGGGCCTGGGTGCTGTCCCTGAGCTTTTTTGCTCAAGGTTAGTGTGCTACCACTTGAGCCACAGCTCCACTTCTGGCTTTCTGGAGGTTAATTGGATATATGTGACTCTCATACTTTCTTTCCCAGGCTGGTTTCAAACCCAAATCCTCTGATCACAGTCTCCTAAGTAGCTAGGATTACAGATGTGAGCTACTGGCACCCAGCTACACACACACACACACACACACACACACACACATACACTATCACACACTATACACATGCACGTATGCATGTAGTATGTGTGTGTGTTTTTAAGAGGAAGAGATGGGTTGAAACCAGCTTGTGACGCATGTTCTACTATGGAGCTGTCTCCCTTTTTTTCCCCCAACACACACACGTACACCACCACTTTTTCTGACATTAGTTTGTGAAGTTGTTTCAGTGTCCTATTTGGGTCTGATGAAAATAATTTAGCAATTAGACTATTTCAAGGCAAAGCTACAGAATTTTAATTATTTTATATATTTCATTAACAATATTTTTCAACATCAGTTTTCTGTCTTGTCTTTGGATCCATTATGGAAATACTTTTAATGGCAGGAATTTAAATTATAAGATCAGACCTAACACAGGTATGCAGTGTTCAGGCAAGCAATAAAGAGCTGAGTTTTAAGTACTGAACATGTTGTGATATCAGATGCATCTTGTTTAGTTAGTAAGGATTTATTGTATTGAACGATACTGTGTTTTAAAGGAGAAATACTTCAGTGTGTATTTTGTCTATTGACAAAAATTGTGGATGCTTGTGGCTCACACCTGTAATCCAAGTCCTTGAGACTCTTAATGCAAACAAACTACTCAGAAAAAGCTGGAAGTGGTAGTGTGACTCAAGTGGTAGGACAGTAGCCTTGAGCAAAAGAAGCACCCAGCTTAAGCTCCAGGACCAGCAAAAAAACCCTAAAACTCTAAGGAATTAGCAAATAGATTTCTGTTTCTGTGAGATTTCTGACTTAGTGGAACACATATTGAATACTTTAAACAAAGCCTGGCAGAGTTTTTAAATCATTTTGGATTTTTGATTTTAAATATTTGACAGCAGTCATAGTAGTATCTTTCTGAAGACTTAGTTCCAGAAAGGTACATAAGAGCAATTTTAATTAACAAAATTAGCAAAAATGTCCCAGCAGTAAAGTACATAAAAAGAATGCTTCACCTTGTAGCTTCTCTTAATATAGTGCCACAGGTACTTGGTATGTGTAATGAATTCTAAGTAAGTACTAACATACACACACTTATACCATACTTGTATATTATAAGCTAGGGAAAAAATAACATTATTTGGGTATATTTTGGAGATACCTGATTATTTGTATTGATGTCATGTTTTCTGGCTTTCTTTGTTTTCCTTTTTTCAACTTTAGCTACACAGTCTCACCAGTGGTATTCTTGGGGGCCACCTAATATGCAGTGTAGATTATGTGCATCTTGTTGGCTGTATTGGAAAAAATATGGAGGCCTGAAAATGCCCACCCAGTCAGAAGAAGAGAAGTTATCTCCTAGCTCAACTACAGAGGTACATAAATGGTAGTCTAAACTTTAGTGTGTTTTTCAATAGTATGTTTTTCAGTTGTTGCTCATTCCTTGGAAACAGAAGTACACGTAAGACAATTTGAAAATGAATGATGTAGTTTTTATAATTAAACACAGCACTCATACTCAGGGTGGATGTGGAGTTAAGAGCCAGCGACAAGTCAAATTTTTTCAGGTATTCAAAATACTAATCTTGTTAGATTGCTTAGAAGAGTGTGTGTGTGTGTGTGTGTGTGTGTGTGTGTGTGTGTGTGTGTGTGTGTGTGTGTATGTGTGTGTGTGTGTGTGTGTGGTGTTAGCACAAGTAGAGTTACAAATTAGGTGTTTTAATTGCTTTTCAAATAGTTTGTAATCTTTAGATTCTGTGGAAAGCATCTCAAAAGTAATAAGTAGAAACGACATTTTCTTTCTCCCTGACTATTATGGAGGGACAAGAAGGAATCAAACTCAAACTTACTTGAAAAGTATTAGAAAAATAATTTTGATAAAGTTCTCTAGATTGTGGGTGTCAATTCCCTGTTCTACCTGAGGAAGACTATTTTTTTTCAGTATTGATGGCATCTTAGGAACCTTTAATATTATTAATTAAATAAACAAATAAATATAAGTGAATCCTTAACAGTTTCTTAATATTATGGGTATGATTCAATTGCGTATTCTTTTTTTTCCCCAGAAAGTATGCACTTTCTACTTCTCTTTTAAAGGATAGTTTCTTATGTCACAGATATATGTGGGGATGATGTGGGGATGACTCTTGTTTGACTGTGAGACAGCTAGTAATGTATTTTGACAAAGTCTACTCTTTAAATGTTGGTTGGTTTCTGATTTTACAGGACCCCCGTGTTAGAAGTCACCTGTCCCGGCAGGCCATGCAGGGGATGCCAGTACGGAACACTGGGAGTCCCAAGTCTTCCGTGAAGACACGCCAAGCTTTCTTCCTTCATACTACATATTTCACAAAATTTGCTCGTCAGGTCTGCAAAAATACCCTCCGGTTGAGGCAGGCAGCAAGACGGCCATTTGTTGCTATTAATTATGCTGCCATTAGGGCAGAATGTAAGACGTTTTTAAATTCTTAACCTTATATGTTGTGCTTTCCTGACCATTTTCTCTTTTCTATCTATCTCCCTTTTTTGTTTGTTTGCAATAAACGTAAGTTCTTGTGTACAGACTTTTGTTTTTTTTTTTGTTTTGGGTTTTTTTTCATTTTTCAAAAAGGCATTGTTTTTGTCTGCTCCCATTTGTATCATACTAGCCTGAAAACAACATTAAAACCTCTGTAAATTTTCCTCAGAATAGTGCTCAGGAAAGGAATGGTAGGAGGTATGCCCCTGTCCAGTTGTTATGTTGCTGAAAGAATTGCCAAAAAAGCCCTTATTGAAGTACTTGTACCAATTGGGTAGTACTGCAGTATAACTCCCAAGGACACTGTTCTAGTGAAACTGTCTGAGACAGCATAGTCCATTCCTATAGGAATGCATTAGGTATAAATAAAATTTACTGATTTATACTGATTAGAAATTGTATGCCTTTATAAGACTCTTCTCTTCCCTAGGCTTTTGACAACAACCATCATCAACATAATAGAAATTCACAGTGCTTCATAACAAATGCTGTATGTATTAGAAAGTTTAGCAAATTGAAAATAAATTTAAAAATCACTTTGGGCTTAGAAGCTACATTGTGGTTGAGCAGTCTATTTTTGTCCAATCTGGTTTCCATTTCATAACATACATTGTCATATAACATTTACATGGCTCATTCATTTCCAAAACAATCTTATGTTTCATTTTTTTGTTAGAACAAAGATCATATATACTGGTAATTTGTGGATTTCTTTGTTTATTACCATGAATCTGAAAACATGTTCATAATTTGTGTTTGAGCTCTGGAGTTACATCCTTGGCTACAATAACCATACAACCTTTTCTCTCTAAGGGATTAAAAAAATGCCATCTAGTTTAACAGGAAATCTTTTGAAAACATTCAGGTGCTTTATCTGTCAGATTTAAAAAAAAATTATTATGAGATGTTCTACTTTGATTTAAGGAAAGTATCCATAAAGAGAATGATAAATAAAAAATAACTTTTTATTCTTAAAGGTAATTTTTGGCAGAAAACTGAAAGTTGGACGGCTTTAAAGCTTAAAGGTAAAAGCTCTGTAAGAAGAAGCATAGCACTTCGTGTAGGGAGTAGATACTGGCGTCTATGTCAGTGTCCACCGAGAGGAGTCAGCTGTGTCATATCCTGTGGATTTAAGAATCTATCCTGGCATTGTCTTTGTCCTGGCTTTCCTGAGCTCATGGACTTGTTATTACTTTCTTACTACTTTAAGAAATTAGAGGGGCAGGGAAGGTGGTTCAGTGGTAAAGTGCTTTCCTCACAAGCATGAGACCCTAGGTTTATTCCTGAGCACCACATAAACAGAAAAAGCCAGAAGTGGCTCTGTGGCTTAAGTGGTAGAGCACTAGTCTTGAGCTGAAGAGCTGAGGGACAGTGCCTAGGCCCAGAGTTCAGGCCCACAAGTGACAGAAGAAAAAGAAAAGAAAAAAGAAATTAGAGCCGGGTGCCGGTGGCTCATGCCTGTAATCCTAACTACTCAGGAGGCTGAGATCTGAGGATCTCAGTTCAAAGCCAGCCCAGGCAGGGAAGTCCATGAGACTCTTATCTCCAATAAACCACTCAGAAAACTAGAAGCGGCATTGTGGCTCAAGTGGTAGAGTACTAGCCTTGAGCTGAAGAGCTGAGAAACAGTGCCCAGTCCCAGAGTTCAAGCCCCATGACCAACAAAAAAAAAGAAAGAAAGAAAGAAATTAGAAAATAATATATATATTCACTTGAACAGTTTAGGTAATTTAAAAACATTTATATGTTCTTTCTTTAAAAGGATAAAAACATTTGAAAAAAGTGATTGAAAATCTTCTGTTAAAATTGGATAGGCATCTTTGATCACATGAACGGAAAAAAAAAAGCATCACTGACTTGACTTAATTGGCAGCTGTGGAAGGGCTATGTTGATTTTTCAGTTAATTTGCTCATTATATTTATCCTGATTATTGTGAATGAAATATATCACTTCAGTCTAATTTTTTTTCATTACTGGGCCATGCTGTTACAAAAAGGATCAAGATTCAATTACTTGTATTTGTACAAGTATTTTTAAAAAGTCATTTGTTGTGAAGAGATTCAAAGGGCTTATGTTCTATTTCCATTGGTTGGTGGCATACATTTGAGGTCTGATTCTTAATTTTTTTGTTTTTTGCTAGTCCTGGGACTTGAACTCAAGGCCTGGGCACTGTCCCTGAGCTTCTTTTGCTCAAGGGTAGCAGTCTACCACTTGAGCTATAGGGCCACTTCCAGCTTTTTTATTATTTATGTGGTACTGAGGAATTAAACCCAGGGCTTCATGAATGCAAGGCAAGCACTCTACCACTAAGTCCCATTCCCAGCTCCAGAATACTTAACCTTACCATAAGTTTTTAAATTACAGTGATTGAGCAACTATCTGCTGAAATTTTTTTTCAGACAAGCAGCTAATGAGCTGTTCCTATATCCTTATATTCTCTTCTTACATGGACTGACCTTGTTTTAACTTCTTGATCAGGTCTTTCATCTTCATGAGATCAAGTGTTAATAACCTGATTTACGCAGGAAACTAAGCCTCTCCTGGAAATGAATAGGTAGTTGTTGTTGTTTGTTTTGTTTTGTTTTAAATCAACAAGCTTTCCTTACGGCTTTTTACCTCCAAGGTTTGGTTTTTGTGGGTTTTTTTTATTTTGCCAGTCCTGGGGCTTGCCTCAGGACTGGGTTGCTGTCTCTGAACCTCTTTGAGCTCAAGGCTAGCACTTTACCACTTGAGCTACAGCACCACCTCCAGTTTTTTTGTTTTTTTGTTTTTTGTTTTGTTTTGTTTTGGGTTGGTGGTGGGACTTGAACTCTGGGCCTGGGTGTTGTTCCTCAGCTCTTCAGCTCAAGGTAAGCACTTGAGCCACAGCACCACTTGCGATTTTCTGGTTTCTTGGAGATAAGAGTCTCACGGACTTTCCTGCCTGGGCTGGCTTTGAACTGTGATCCTCAGATCTCAGCCTCCTGAGCAGCTAGGATTACAGGCGTGAGCCACCAGTGCTTGGCCACCTCGATCTTTTTGTGAGTAATTTATTGGAGATAAGACTCTCATGGACTTTTCTACCTAGGCTGGCTTTGAACCATGATCCTCAGATCTCAGCCTCCTGAGTGGCTAGGATTACAGGCGTGAGCCAAAGGCATCCTGCTCCTCCAATGATTCTTAACATCTTTCCTTTAAAAGGGTTTGAGAATTACCATGTGCAATCTGAATATACTTTTGGGTCAGGTGGATCTTTATAATTTAAAAAAAAACACTGATGGATCTGAAAAGGTTTTTTTTTCTTTTTTAATTTTTCAGACAAAAATTAAAACCTGGACTGTATATCCCAGGTTGGCCCAGAACTTGAGATCCTCTTGTGTTAGCCTCCCAAATGCTTGGATTATAAGCATACATTACCATGCCCAGCATAAGTATTGTATTTGTTAAATTGTGATCATCTTGTTGAGAGAGGAAACCCTCTGAGTTTGATGTTCTTTTTAAAGCACATAAAAACTGAACCCTTCCATGGCTTCTGTACTTAACAGCAACATCACAACCAATGTCACAGCCAGAGTTTATGAAATGACAGTAAACTTTCTCCATTTGAAGTAGGAAATATGTTTCCTATTAATTTGAAACTGTGGTATCATCAACCTGTGAATACACATACCAAGTGAGATATATATATGCAAATGTAAAAAAAGCATTTTTTTTTATTTTATTATTTTGGTCAGTGGTAGGACTTGAGCACTGTCCCTCAGCTCAGCTCAAGGCTAGTAGTGCCCTATCACTTGAACCACAGTGCCACTTCCGGCTTTTTCTGTTTATGTGGTGCTGAGGAATCAAACCCAAGGCCTCATGCATGCAAGGCAAGCACTCTACCACTGAGCCACCTTCCCAGCCAAAAAATGCTTTTAACACCAGTTTCCCCAAATACCTGTTTACTTTCATTATATACTTTTTGTGAAAATAAATCCCTGACAAAAGTCCTAGTAAAAGTACCAAGCCATTTCTACCACATAGTTCTTGATTGGGAGCCAAATACATCTGGTTCACATCTGTAATCCTGGGTACTTGAAAGACAGGTCAGGAGTATCATTGTTTGAGGTCATCCAGGCATGTATTCATGAATCTGTCTTAGCCAATAGCTGAGTGTGATAGTGTGTACACCCCTACATGCAAAGCTAAGATTGGGTAGATCATGGTTCTGAGTCAGCCTGAGCAATGAACTGCTAGGTGATGCTACATACCTATCTTCTCAGCTATGAAAGTAAGCATAAATAGGAGGATCACAGTATTAAGTCATGGGCCAATCTTAAGAGGCTGAAGACATTGCTCGGTGGTAGTATCTGACTAGCAGTTCACACACATACACACAAAAATTCCAGCACTCAAGAAGCTGAGGCATGAGGATCACAAGTTTGAGGCCAGTATGGTTTACATAGGGAGATTCTCAAAGATTCTCTTTGGTGCCCAAAGCCTAAATACAGCATAAATAAATGGTAATATTCCAACAGCATAGGTGGAAACACAATGTCAAGTTTAGATATCACGTCTCTTTTCCCTCTTGATGTTCTTCCCCGTCCCCTCCAGTGAAAAAGGCCATGATGTGATCGATGATGTTATTTCCTGCTTTGTAACTGCCATTAGACATTCATTCAGAGTTAGTGGAAGACTTTGTCCTCGAGGAACAGACACCTGATGAAAATGATATAGTCACTTTGAGATTCAGGATCCTCAAACTGGTTAAGAAATAGATGGGTTAGCAGCATTCCCTAGAGATACTAAATTTCCTGGTAAAGTAGGTCCAGGTGATTTACCTGTCGCCTTCGTAATTGCAGAGATAATGTAATGGATCTAAGTTACCTGCTTTGCATGCAGTGGTAGTCATTTGGAGTTACCTGGAGACAAGTTTTCTGTGTGAAGATGTGAACTGAACTTTGGAAATATC